TAAAATAGAGTTCTTCAAGAAACTATGCTTCTAAAATAGCACATGTTTCCTCGCCTTATTTCTAAATTTGCAATTGTCGAAAATTCAGAGATCAACGAAAATGAGACTTGTACCATTTCTTTAAGTATGGTATTAATAATATTTTAAAGTTCTATTTAGTCTTCTAGATTTCATAAAAAATCTATATTTATCTTCAGTATTAAAGTTGTAGTAAGACACAGAAGAAATGTTGAACTTTTGCAATTTAATAAAATGCAGTGTTCAACGAAAATGACACCTGAACAATTTTTTAATAGTCCTTTGCTCTTTGCGAGAAAAAATGTATCCAAAAAAATGGAGCCATTATTGAGAGAATTTTGTAAATGTCGATGAGTCTTCTTGTAAAAACCCCCCAAATGAAAATATCTTCTTCAAAGTCGCTGAGTTCAGCCATATCGATTGTAGAATATCATTTTGGGAGAAAATCGTCTGAATGGGTTAGGGGCTATTGTTAACCAGAGGCAGACTGTCAGACTCGGTTTCAAAGATCCGCAAAAGTGGATTACGATTCGTATGACTGCACAACGTGTTAGAAAAAGTAAATTACTACATGTAGGAACACGATTTATCCACTTTTTCGATAAAAGAGATTCACAGTATGAGTTTTTTCAGTCGAAATATCATTCTCCAATACAGCATTACAATACTTTCTTTAAAAACAAATCATTGTTTTTCAATGGCAAAATCAACTACATTGACGTTTTTGCTTCAGGATATTAAATTCGAAGCAACTGGGGCCCGGAAATCTCGAGGAGCCTCCAAAGGTAAGTTATAAATATTTTAGTACTACAAAAATACTAGTGCATATATAATAACTTAATTAACAGGAGAACTTCGATCAATCTTTAGATGAGATTTCGAAAGGATCGAATAAAATTTTTCGACATCTAATTTGGAGTTTTCATGCCACGATTATGGATTAGGAAGAAGGCAAGAGAAAAATTATGTTGTCTAGGTTCGAGTTATTATTATTATTATTATTGAGTTGTAATACTCGTAAGTCTTCTGAAAGGCTTCAACCAAATCGCTGACGTACTCAAAGTTGTGTAAATAACCTAACAAACTTGTGTTGCGTCAACGTTTAATAACAAATGCGTGTAAACGAAGTTAAAGCAGGAGTCAGGAGTAAACATAGAATTTCCCGAAAGAAATTGAGTAGATTATAATACAATGGCTTGAAAAAATCAGGGACTTGGAGCTACATTCAAGTACGTATATCTTGATCTTGAGGGTTCTATTCCTGCACAAGGCACCACATGGTTGTTGCGCCCTTGTCTTCTTGTACAACCTTGATCTGCACATTGTTACAACGATCATTATCATTATTCACCCTTCATGAGCGTTCTATGTCCTTCACATAATAGAAGGTAAACGCAAATTACCACAGTAAACGGATTAGGACATAGAGAAGTAAGACCCCTCCATTTTCACGAGCAGAAATCATTATGAAACAAGCTGATTGTGAATTATTATGATACCACAACAACAGCCTAGTTGCCTCGAAGTGAGCACATAGTACAGCGTCCCCTTCTGCTGGCTAAATCTGTATATTGTTCCCCTGTCCTGGGAAAAATGATCTCCTTGGCGAAAGCATAGCACAGGACATAGTGAATATCAATATTGGACAAACCATTCAAAAGTCCTGAAAACCCATCTTCATCATAAATATTTAAAACATTATAAAATTTTCCAATTACGAAGATTCTTTTATAGAATATTTTAATACCAGCAATAACAATGTTTGTTCCTGGATAATAAAACATATTTTATATTATTTTTACGCTTTCCTTTTTTATCTCTAAAACAGTCCCTGTACTTAAGTTTGCTTCGTATACTGCGCCGTATTTGCACCACCAGACAGTTCTTGGCTCATGCGTCATCATGTGGCACACAGGCGCCAACCAGTTTCAAATTAGGCTATCTCGCAAGGATGCTTTTGTCCCCGCGACGAAGAGGGTATAATTAATCACGAATGTGTCACGTGCTTTACTGGCTCTTGTCTTTACAAATGTCAATGAGAGTCTTCCACACGTTTAAGTCTATCACAAGTCTTTCAAAAGAAGCCTTTTTAAAATATGTATTGATCGTGTTATTACTTAGATTTCGGTATATATTAATGTTAAGTGTATACAAAATAATATATAACCATCATTTATTTATCTGCTGACGAAAAAAATTATTTTTGTTCGCTTAGATCCGAAGTATTTAGCTTAAATATTTGAGAAATATAGTAATTACCACGAATGTTTTTAGAATGAATTAATAAAAATTTGAAATGAATGAATGAATGTTTGATTCTTATTTAAAAATGGGTACTCCGGTGAAAAATATAAAACGATGTTTTAGGTTGTCTCCATTATCCATTTTTTTGGAGTTGCCTACCAAAGGGGGATTCTTGGTCTATCTCTTTTGAAAGTTCTCTCGACTTGAAGCAAACAATTAAAGCAATCAATCAGAAAACCACCGTCTGTGCAGGCGTCTCATTAGGAAAAAGAGTACAAATAAATGTAGCTTTTCTTCCTTCTCAATATCGCATAAAATATATTTAGTTCTCTTAACTTATTACACAAACAATTAAAATAAAAGGAAGTCTGGAAGCTGAAAAGCAATCGTCACGTTTTTAAAGAAATGAAGTTTCATTTCCTCCCATGAACGTGGGTGTTATTCAGAGATGGATTATTGCCATAACAGTCTAAGTAGGTTCTTCGGATTCACACCGCAAAGAGTTTATAATTTATTTTCAAATACATTTTCAATACATACGTACATTACTTCAATAATGTTGGGGAACCTCTAGTTTGATTATGCTTGCGATCTCTTCGTATAATAATAATAATAATAATAATAATAATAATAATAATAATAATCCAGCCCTGGTGGTCGATCATATGGCCAAGATCTCTAGGTCAGTTGTGCCCTAGCGGTCTTGGACTAAAAGGGTTCGAAGCCCGTCTCGGACATCGGTGTATTCGTGTTTGTCTGTATGTGTGGGTCGTCCTCTCACCTCTCACTATCATCATCATTTCAAAAATAGGGTCCAGCTAAATGCTGATTCCCTGATAAAATTACATGCCACCGAGAAAATGTTTCTGCTCTCCGGTAAATGCAGGGTGCATGCACGCGTGGTCCAAGTCAGCTTATTCGCGGAAAAAAAATCCGACTCTAGTGTTAGTACCTGTGTCTGTATTATGTACTCTTGGATTTGCCATGAATAAATGAACGACTCCACAAATGAAAGGAATGAATTAGTGAAATTAAAGGAATAAATGTCAGAAATCAATGGAATGAATTTGTGAAGTGAAAGTATGTGTAACATGATTGAATGTGTGAAATGAATGGAATAAGTAAATCCATGATATGAACGGAACGATGTGACGGACTGAAGTGAACGGAATGACTCCTGCGTGAATAAACGGAAGGCAGGCGTTAACGGCCGGGGCGAAGTCGTGAGTGCGTAGCGGGGCGTGCGCGGTGCACGTCGCGCAGTGCAAACGCTAGGAGCGGCCGGCAAGCAAGGGGGCCGCAAGAAGACAAGGCGCGGGCGGGCGCGGCGGCGCGGGCGCGGGCGGGGGCGGGGGGCCGGTCGCCGCCGGCGTCGTCGGGCGGGGTTCGCGCTCCAAGGGCTCGTCGTCGGGGCCGCTCCAAGGGCTCCACGTCCTCCACCTCGCCCGCTCGCGCTCGCGCTCGCGCTTCCACGCGCTCCGCCTCCTCGCGCAAGTCGCGCAGTGTCGGGCGCCCCCTCCCCCCCCCCACACACACACACACGGGCACGCCACGTCCATCGCAGAACGCGGCACGTTGCCGCTTTGCAAGTGTAGTTACGAAAACCTGCTCTTTCTTTTGGAATCTGCCGTAGTCATCACAGAAAACTCGATTGATTGATTAGTGATTCCGGGCACGTCAACTGCTACGGTCATTAGGTCCCGTAAATGTAGAGCATGTTTTCCACGGGAAAAGTCAGTGATTTTCCTCCGACCGATGCTGAGATTCGGCAACGGCCTAACGTCGACTAATGGGGATACCCCCAACTTGGTATCTCCCACCAGCGGGCACCGCCCCAGTTCCCGCTCAAGCTCCCCATCGGTGTCCCGGTGTGTGTGGTAGTGTAGTGCATGTACTTGTAAGTGTACATCAGTACGGGTGGGGAAAGGACAAACAAGACAAAGGAAAGGGGTCAGTCTTAGGGTGCTCCTCCGGCATTCACATGATTTTGATGGGAGAATAAGCGGAAAACTACCGATTGTCGGCCGCCAGAGTTATCGACTAGACAGCGGCTGAACTCGAACTCGACCTATCTATCTAGCTGTTGTCAAAAATCCTGTCACCGTCGGGAATCGAACCTGTACTTTCCGATAAGAGGCACTAGAGTGACATCAGTTGATGTCTTGCACAACCTCTCCCGGTATAAAACTCACAAAAATGCATTAATTCCATGATACATGATGTCAAATAGTATATAGAACCAGACCAAAGAACCATTTAAACTATTATGTTTTACTCTTTTATCCAAAAAATTACCGTGAAGAAAATGTTGCTTTTAGTTATGGACCTCCTCAAATACGTGCACTAGGAAAGTCTCCGCAGTAGCACGTTGCAAGTAAGAGTGTTTGCAATGTAAATGATGTTGGTAGCAAGAGCTCCAGCTTGCAACGAAGCACCGACCATTAGACAATACACCGCAAGCTAACCCTTCTCTTGTTTCCAAGTGATCCAACTGGTGTCATTGTAAATAGTTTTGAATATAAAGTCTCTATTCGATGCGGAGTGACTTTCCTGGCAGGCTGTACTACTGTCTAGTCTTGAGTTCCAGTACTTGCGCGGGGCATTTTATTTTGTATAATAATTAAATATAATAAAATACTACCCACTGCCTGTAATTTAAATATTCTCCTTGCGTTTATTCCATTAGATTTTTCAGATATAAACAAAAAAATAAAATAAACTTTACGAACTATGCGCAGCTCACGCCGATCGCGTCGCTCACGTGACTCCCGCGCCAAGCCCACCATACAGCCCATGCCTAACGTGCCAACCGTGCACCTGGCCTTCTCGCTCGAGCGCTTCTCGCAGGTGCGTCTGTTGTGGTGCTCTAGGTCAGCCCTAATAAGCTGATGAATAACGATGCTAAGGTGAGTAACGATTTTGTAACTACTTGGCAGTCCGGAAGCGCCTCAACCTAGACACAAATGCCAACGTTTCGGCCGCCATGCTGGTAGCTTTCTTAGAGCGAAATGCAGATATGGTAGCAGAATGTCTAGAAACGTCTTGAGGACAGCTAAGTGGTCACTGGCTCCGGCCGCGGGAGCCCACGTTGTCGAGTGGCGACGTGAGGTGGCCAGAGAGTAAGCCCGGCGCCGGCGCGCGTGCGGCAGGCGGCGGAGGCGGTGCCGAAGCTGGTGCACGAGGAGTGGGCGCTGAGGGAGGCGACGCCCGAGCGCGGGGGCAACATGTTCTCGCCGCGGCCGGCGGTGCCGCCACCGTCGCCCGCGTGGCCGCAGTCGCCCCGCGACGTTCTCTCCCGCGCCGCCTTGGCCGACGCCGTCATCAACTGACGCGCTCGAGCCGGCTGCCTGATCACGCGCGCGTCCATTCAGACTTTTCGATCCAAGTGGAATTTTCTGGAAGAGTCGGTTCTTTTCTCCTCGGCTCATCTGTCACAGCTTACCAGGTGTTAAACAATTTTGTACGAAAACATGTACGAAAAGCTGCCTTGGTGGACAAGTGGGTATGTTTCTTAATAAACGTTGTTTAGTACACGATACACAGTTGCAAATGCAACATATGTTTTATTTCTAATAATGAACAAAATCACAGCGTCTTACCGAGAGGCGACGGCTTGTACAAGTACCTCTATTGCCGACGCTTTCATCACGAACGATTTCGATCCCACGGGTAGTTCTCCGCAACTGTGGCCTCGGGAATGTTCTGATCAAACCAACTACAGGGATATTAATTTCAATTTATTTTCAACCTTCCTAACAAAAATTACAATAATTGTTTTGAAGATATTGAAAAAGAGACACAGAGTGGGTATTTCTATCAATTTCCGATGTTTTAATTTCTCGTGTATTTATGTATATACGTAGTATTGAGAAAGATATGTAATACTAAGGAATATCGATTTCGATGTTTCAATGGAAATACATATTTAGGGGTTCACTAATATCAAAAGAGTGGTTTTTTAAAACGTCCGTTTATCTGTCAGTCTGCAAACAACACTAGCGCCTTAACTATCATTAGGATTGTTTCCAAAATGAGTATTCACTGGAGTATCTACGCCAGTATTATGGAGTATTATGGAGCACCACTAGTTTATTTATGGTTTTTGACGTTCGTTACACAGTTGAGATTAGTGTAACTTAAGACATGAATTGAAAACTAACTTATTCGTAAAACCAATATTTTTGATCAGGTGACGATACCCAATTAGTTCCTCTAGTCAGAAGGAATTCTTGCGTTGTTTTGAATGTGGTATTCAGGTTGGGGATAATGCCGAGTTCAAAAGTAAAAAGAAAAGGGATTTCAAGAAAGTTGGAGAAAACTTTTGTGGCCACATATGTGATATGACGCTATATGAGTTATAAGATGAATTCTTTGTGTAGTTTATGGTTGGATCTCTACCGCCTGATGGTAGAAGCGGCTGACCATGACCTCGAGACAAGGCCGCCCCACTTCCTCGCGAGGGGGAGCTAAGTGGCCTCGCCATTCACATTGCCTCATTCAAGGTCGACAGAGCGTCTACCCACGTTGAGCTCTGCTCATCCCGTGAGCAATAGCCACAGACTTCTTGTCTATGGGTTTTGGCCTGACCTATACGGGTACGACCTATTCTCGGGTTTTTCTAGATGAATAAGTGGAATCGATCCATTTGGCATAGCGCTCGGAGTGTAAACAGAATATGAAAAAAATGATTGAACTCGAACTTCGACCAGTTAATGATAATAATCGTACCCCAGCTGGAATCGATCAAAGGTAACCACGAAAAGCACTCTTACCGGGAGATCCAAGGATTCGAGCTGCGACTGTGGTAGCATTTTGGTCACTAACTTTGTCAAGTAGGTCAAATTCAGTCATTGACTGGAGAAGAATTCTAGTGGCCGGCTGTTCTTGTCGGTAGTTTCTTCGATCAACACTAGAAGAATGTCGGAGCAATACCCCAACAAACGAGCCATGGACCACGCGCGATCTTTCCTCCCTCTGCCTTGTCCTATCCTCACGAGTTACTTACACACACTTTGATGCACTACTACACATGTCTGGAGGCCAGTCGACAGCCGGGGAGCTTAGAGCGTGGGAGCGCTGGGAGGTTGCGACGCTGGCTGTGGAAGATTCCCGCAAACCGACATTGGCCGGCGTCGAATCTCGACAGCTAGCGGCGCAAGATCACCTCCATATCACACGATAAAAGCATACACTAGACTAATGGGACTAATGTCTTAGTAGTTGACACGCCCGGTATAACTATTCAATCAATTAAAAAATGGATATAAGAGATGAGTCATCCTCTATAATTCTCTTCTTGGCAGTAACAGGTGTTGACTCAATTACTCAACAGTCAGCCTGAATTAAAATAAGATTTGAAAAAAAGTGGAATTCCAAGTTGTAGTGGTGTTTAATGTGTCCACTAATAAATAATACTTGGTGTCTCGTCATGCAAATGCAAATTATTGCATGACGTCATGCAAATGCAAATTACAAATATATTATATTATAAATAGTATAAATGTATATTAGAAACATATTTCAAGAGTTCTTTTCTGACGGATAGAACTTCAAGAAAGTTACTCTATTGCAAACTGCTTCAGAGCAAGTAGTCTGTACACAAAAATATTTTATACAGAATATGTCACAAACGTGTGTACAAATGTCGAAGGTACGTAGAGGAGGTCAAAAAATGAGTTTTGATCAATGAATCCGGTCTAAAGTAGTCCACGCTCGAGGTTAGGCTGTGTTAAAACAAGCGTTTGACCCCCTGAGAGATAGGCTACTATTCAGACTGAGAGGTGTAAAGCTGACCTTTAAACCATATTGATAGCAATACGAGTCGTCAATGAGCAATATATTTGCATAAAAATAGCACAAAGAAACTTGAAAATGATTTATAATAGTTTGCTGCTAGTTTGATTCTAGAGTGTGTTGGTATCCTGAACCTACAGAGAAATATACGCTTTTTGACATGACCTACAGGTTTGCCAACACCTAGGGTTTATTAGCAAAAATTATTTATCTTGACCTTCCTCTTCCTTCTCTGCGACTGTGCACTAGTTTCCGAAATACCTACACGTAATTTCAAATCGAGGGCACAAGTTTTCAACTTTTAGCAAAAAACACTTATTCGTAAATAGAGAGGAACATTACTAAATCACACAATATTAAAATAATATTGCTGTAAATATTGCTGGTTTATAAAATAGGAGTAGGGAATATTTTTAGTACTTTCTTAATAAATATTAAGTATGAGAAAGTAAATAAGTAACTCATTTTCATAATAGATTCATCCAACATTTTGTAAAAATTGAATCAACGTCTTGTTTTTGCTGATTTGGGAGACACTAAGCCCAACAGTTCGGCTGTGGATACCTGTGAGGAAGCTATTCGGCACGAGCCCCCGCGATCACAGGAAGCCAACGCAGCGATCCGGGAATTTGCGCGACGGAAATGGAAACTAATGGCAGCTCGACTTCACCGTCACTTTATTCTGACTGCGAGATATATGGCAGCTATAAATACCTCACTTATACAAATTGGAACGTGTAATGAATCGTTATTGTGAATTGCCCTTGCAACTGCTGGTGATGAATCGTACTTTTTGGCACTTCAGACATTTTCCATGGAGTGTAAGGAATTGTCTCGAGGGAGAATTACTTTTCTGTTGTTTAAAATCTCTCCATCAATGCAGACGCCCATTTAATGAATATATATTTTCATGAAATATGAATATTTTGAAATTAATATTTTTGTTTCTTAGATTACAGTGCATAACAAACAGGTACATCAATGAATAAATATAAATTGCGAGTCAATCAAATTATCAATAAAGCAATTAGCTGAATAGATTAGCCACGCAATTCCTTTGCATGCACGAGAAGTTTAGCGACCAGCTGCTATGATTGTTATTTTTGTGATTTCCTCGACTATATTCAAGCGGATTTTGTTGTACCCGCGGGCGACCCGAGAGCATTTCTTCCGTTGGCGCTGAGAGATGAACATCCATCCACCTACGGCCAGTTCTACTGACCACTAGCATATTGGCAACACTGTTGCATCTGCAAGATTGTTGGCCTTAAGTTCTAAGCTTCGAATAACGATGATGGCGGACTTTCGACACTAACTACGTGACAATGTCGAATTCAATCACTGGCAGTAGAATTCTAGCGGCCAGCTGCTGTGATCTGTAATTTTCCGCGGTTTCTCCGATCAACACCAGGCGAATGCCGGAGCAGTACCCTACAACAATGCCACAGACCGCAAACTTCTTTTTCTCAACAATGACCCTCTTCACCTGTTACAATACGCACATACCCATAGATGCACTACATTATTACACATGTCGGGAGGCTCCGATGGGGAAAATTGGGAACATACCTAGAGGAGAAGAAACCTGGAAGCCGACTTGTAGGTCGGCGCCAGATCTCGTCCCAGCGGGGGAGAAACGCGCCATCTCCCGGAGTATAACATGTGCATATTTGTGTGGCACTAATTAGTTAGGTTGTTGACACTCACAGAATCAATAATTAATTATCCAAACAGTTTTATGAAATAGAAAGCCTCGACGGAAGTATTAATATCAGGTGAAGGCTCGATTTCAATTGTAGCCGCTTAGAAATGAAATGAAGTATGGCTAATCTGGTCTTTCAGAGTAACATTTCTTCGCTTATCAGGGCAATGAAATACTTTGTTTACACATAATTTGCAGTAAAATGTAACATTTATTAGTATCGTTTTTATTAATCAACTGAGACCTAATCTATACTGTCATTTCAGTCCTTGGGAAAATTCCATTTAGTCTAAATTAACTTATTTACAAACAACGTTTTTTGTATTTTTAAATTGATTTTATAATGTCCTTCAAAACAATCGGAAACATGATGAAGTTATAATTATGTAAAATGCATATATGCATATAATATGCATATATGGTCCTCTGTATATTTTT